TAAGAAGTGTCGGTTGATAATGGGAACGCTTGAGCGTTCCTGTTTTGATAAATGATTGGAGTTTTGAAACCCAAGTTTTTATCGATCAACTAAAAGAGAAGTCGGAAGTCTTGGATTTTGTTTAAATATTTTGCTAAATGATATCAGAAAGATTCTCTATAACTCCCACAATTTATAAATAAAAAAAAAGAATGGTATATTAATGTGTTTTTTAAACATCTAATAAATAATTCTTTGTAAAAATCAAATTACATCAAACCTTTTATCGGCATTATTTCAGCAGCTTGGAAGCGTACCGGGTTATTAATTACAAAGGCTACTTCATCGAATTATTGAATCGCTTTTTGCCGATAGCTGCTGGTAACTTTATTATTTCCTCTCCCTCTCTGGAAGCTTATTATCGAAATGCTATGTCCTTGTACCAAATGTTCCTTGCGCAACAGCAGCCAGGATTTCACCTGCAGCCTTGCTCCTGCCCCGATATATAGGTCGCATTATGTGGAACAGGATACCTAACTCGTATTTTGTTCTCGATAATTTCTCGGCAACATGTTCCGTCGCAATTAACGAACAAACCGACGGAGAAAGAAGAAGAAGAATGCTTCGTTGTCGTCGTTGTCCTTTCAGGACGAAAAAACTTTTATGAGGGTAATGATACATCGGTTTCCTTCAGCTCGCTTTTGATGTTACCTCTAAGGTAATTAGCATTAAATCTTTAACTCGAGAATTTTTTTATTTTTACTCGAGATATCAGTGTACAACGTTGAAAGGGTGAAAAAGGTTAAAAGGCAAGAAAGCGTCCTGAAAAAGGTTATGTTTCTTCAGACACAGGACGAAGGTTCATTCGTACCTTCCTCTCCTCGATGGAGCCGAATTTCCGTAAAAGAATTTCTCTCTGGCACACCATTTCTCTTTCGTCTTGAAGGCAAGTCATGCGGACAGCCGCGAGAACCGTATTTTCGTCACGAATTTCTCCTTAGAAAAGACGTCCTGTCTTCCAACGACGACGAAACGTGTCGCAATATTGTTACATAGGAAAATTCAATTTTTATTCGAACCTTATTTATTATGCAATCGATAGCCACTGATCGAATTCATTCGAGGGTAAACTATACAATGATTGATACCCTATTCTCGAGGGTTCGAGGTATGAATTTATATTTAGTTCTTAATAATGTTAAGAGAATCAAAATTAGTACAGTTTATTCTACTGTGAATACCAGTTTCAGAATGTTTTCCCACTCATTTTAAAACTCAAACAGCGTAAATCGCTGTTAATACACTTTCAAAACGAACGGTGAAACTTTTGCGAAATTTCGATCATTAAAACGCGAAATGCCAAATTCTCGAGTTTTCAATTATGATTAAATGTTCATGGATGTTTAAATTTTGTTCCATTTGGTTTAAATGTACACTCGCCGGAATAAAGTTTGCGTTTCGAAATTGCTGAATTAATCAATAAAGTGTTTTGGTTAAACTTTGTATTAAAAAAAAACAATATCTTGATTATAGCAATTTAAAAAATCTCACAGTTTGTGTTTTATTTTATTTTGAAAATCATTCTGAATAAAATGCTCTCATATTTTTGGTCTACAGTTGTATAATCAATATTTCCTTCAAGAACTTGGCATTCATCAAATTCAGTTTTTATTGGAAACATAAAAATACACTATCTCAATTCTTTCTCTCCCATTTCTGCCCAATACTTCACTCCCCGGTAACAACCGTCTAAATCACCTTTATTTTCACACAATATTTATCATTTGTTTGCCTTGAAATTGAATCTGCACCATTGTTACCCAACTCCACCATAGCTTTTGTAACCTTCCTTTCTGTCGATCGAATAAAAAGAGTGGCCGTTTAAATTGGCGCTTTGCGACCTCTTTCTACCTTGAATAAAACTTAAAAATAGCCTGTCCAATGGAAGACCCGTGTACTATCATCGATCATTACACAAGTTTTATTATACTGCACCGTTTAATTCACCGCGAATCGAGTTCGGGAAAAGTTCCTTTCTTATAATCTGTCGGCGGTACACTTTGCCATGATATTCTTTGTTTCAGAATAAAGAGATAAATTCATGCTTGAGATACTAAAGCGCGGACAGTAAGATTCGATAAAATAAACTCGTTATCCGTTCGATTTAACGCGACACGAAATAATGAGACCTCTGCGAAATTTACATTAATAAAAATTTGAGAAATATGAGATATTGAAGAATTTAATTGGTGATTTGTGAAATTTAACATGTACTCGTAACACTTAACAAATTACTCGAAAGAATTACTAAAAATTAGAGAAGAAATTGGTCAACTTTAATTAAAGTTATTTATCAAATAACAAATAGTAGTGTCGATTAATTAATCGAACTCAGAAGTTATCCAATTACTTCTAACCACCAATTGGTCTTAAAATCAATTGACCCCCATGATTGTCTTCAAATATCCAATTGAAGGTTAATTGCTTTTGTTTCTAAGGCTGCTTCTGGTATAATTGATCATCGTAGGTTAACCGACTGGCTTCGCTGCTAATTGATTACCGATTGCTCGCTAACTGAATTCTTGTAACTACGAGCGGGTAATCAAATTGAAATTTAATCAAATCTTCACATTGGTTACAATGTTACTTCCTATTTTGAAAAATCTCTAAGTCAGTCAATCGAGATAACAAGAGAAAGAAACGGCCGCCGAAAGGTAACTCTCGTTATGAGAGACGTTTTGCTGGTAGGCGAACGAGCTACAAAAATATCCCGCGGGACATCCTGAAATCCCAAAGTTATCCTTCTTATCGAATCGAAGGGATCGAATTCGATGCCACTCGAATTGCTTTGCTCCTTTTCCGAGGGTTGATCGAACTGTATGGTTTTTTACGAGTACCACGTTTCACGCAAGAATTCGCAACACGTAAAAACCATTCTGAACATCGAAACGTTTTACTGTTTATTTCAGGAAAAACACAGCTTTGTATTTGTTCCTGTGTATAAGAAGATAGTCGATCAACGAGAAAAGTCGGTATCGTAAAAGACATTAAAAAGGGATGATAATATGCAATGGAAAACGTGGGTCGAGTTTTCATATTTGAGGAAAATTATTCAATTTCCTTTTGCCATTCTATTTGTATATTTATGATGTTTTCCTTTTGTAAGTATTTTTTTCTTACTTTAAGGTACGGAATAGCCAGACACCTTGAATAATATTGAATCAATTGAATATCGAGTGTTCATGATATTGGGAAACTTGTTGCTCTCAGAATCTTCTTTTTATTACATTTTCATTGATAAATGACAAATCGTATCTTACTGAATTTCTTTTCACTGTTAAGGTCTTTTGAGAGGAATTAATAAACCTGAATAATTAATGAATTCTAAAGTCTTCGAGAAATCAGCAAACTTTCAGAAAAAAATTAAAATTCCAAAGAAACCAAAGTTTCCTTATTAATTACATCTCCTTAGACAAATACCGTCCAATTTTCTCGGCGAAAGTTGCGCAACAGTGGATCGACGTCGAATAAAAAGGGAGAAAAATTAACGAGTTCCGTTTTCATTCGCAACTTTGTCGCAACTTTTACTCGTCGAAGTCCCAAATGAAATTCTCTCTTTGATGAGATTCGTATTATGAGGAGAGCACATAACAGGTATTTACGGTGCCCGGTTGAGAGAAGCTTCTTTTATACGTTCTGACAAGCTTGCAACGAACTTGGTATCGGCGAAATAAATTGGAATCGTGAGCAGGGATCTGATGTTTCTATCGAAATTTGCCGGAAACCTTCGCAGATGACGTTGTCGTCCGTGAAATCGCGCCCTGATAAATCGAACGTCCTACGACGATGACGAAAGGACTTCGTAAACACGCGAGAAGAATCTTAATTAATGAAAAAAAGAAAGAGAAAACAACTTTCCAACGAAACGATTCAAGTCTCCTGGAAATTCCCTGGAGAAATTGTACAAATTAACCACAGGAATATTCAATATCATTCTGCTGCAAAGTCTCAAACGAATCAGTTAGTAATCTTACTAACTGAAATCTAAAAATGACTATTGCAAATCGTATCGAACCTAAATGCCAAAATAGGAAAAGCGTCAGAAAGAAAACTTTCATTTTATCCATCCCTGTTTCGACAGACGTCGCGAGTTTTCGTGGAATCCACGTTGATTCTTTCTAATATTGCTTCGAGAGTCGAGAAGAAAGTGCACGTTTTTCCTGAAAATATTTTATGTAACCTGACCCAGGAACTTTGACGAGCAACATGTTTCTTTCGACTTTGTTCTTGTTGTTACAGTGTATGATCTTTTCTTCAGCTAAAAAAACTTCAATATTAACGTTTGAAAATCAAAAACTAAGTTCTCTGAACTTCGAAAGATTAAGTTTTGATAATTCTACTTAAACCTTTATGTTTGAAGTTAGACGTGGAAAGAGATATGAAAAAAAAATCAACATGTTTATTAAAAATTCGCCAAATCTGAAGTATCGATCGCCATTTGAGAATGTCTATTCATGGAGAACAAATTTAGAAAAAATACATACTTCGATACCGAATGAATCCAATAATAGAGTGACGGTGCACCTATCTGAATATGCAAATGAAATATTCATGAGGGTTCGTGACGCGAAAACCCCGATAAAAATGCATTTATTACACATTATATAAACAATGCTTCGGTGTATAAATATTCGTTAGAGGTGCATACGCGTTTATTGAAAATATCAATCAGTTTCCCACACTGTCAAAAATCATTTTCTCTCGTGAAATAAGATGTCCCCTTATTCCTCAACATTAAATTGAAATTTCAACACCGCATATTCGAGTGTGCTGTTCGGTCGGTTTCAGTTAATTAAAGTGATCCTGAACAAACAGGATTAGTACGGTTAATTGGAAAGCTTAGTACAACTCGAAGACAAACAGATTAAACTATCAATGCGCAGTTTCGGCCATCAAGCTACAGCTTTCTGAATACTAAAGCGAACGCCATTTCTAATGTTCATTCAAGAGGATATACTCACCCGGACGTGGCTTGTATGTCGACCTCCGGCCAAGAGGGTCTCCTTCTGCAGAACATCAAAGGAGGTCGATCCGCCGAACCTGTGCTTCTGCGAAAAGAGCCAACCCTCCGGGGCGAGGTGCTACCCGACGCACTTCCGGTAGCTGGATGCACCGTCAAACCGGGGCTGGAAGTGCCCTCGAGGGTCCGTCTTCGCGTCGACAAGGAACGGCTGTGGGAGGACGTGACCGTCCCGGGGGGTGGCACCACCTGAAAGGATAAACGAGCACGATAATTATTTCCGTCGAGTTTCCTTCTGAAAAGGATTAAGGTGAATCCTCGGGAGGAGAGAACGAGCTTTTCAGATGTGGCTGGAACAGCGACAGAAGTAAACACCGCGCAGGGTCGTTCGTGCGTTAAGGGAATCGCAAGGGCTTTTCATTCTTCCTTGTTTCCCTGTTTTACGTGTGAACGGGGATTTGTCTGGCTGGATGATGGAAGATACGAATTTCGTTTCGTTCTTTCAGAAAATCGTCCCATTCGAAGAATGGTCATTGTCTTTTTAATCGTACCAGTCGATGACGTGTGTGTGTTCTTTTTTTTTTTTTTTTTTTTTTTTTCAATAATTATCGACTGGGAGTTACATTGAAAAGTTCTACTTTAAATATACCTCATAGTTTTTCAATAATACAAAAGTATAACGAGGAGAAAAGTTTAGAATTTAAGATCGAAATTGATACATGTGTTACACGAAGGACGGTTGTCAGTTATAGATGCAAATAAATGGTAATTTAATTGGGACATGCACCGGTGACAAATGCTACGCGCGTTTAAATAATCCAGAGCGAAAGGAAAAGTTTCACGGCACATCTGTATTCGATTGTCGCGAAAGCATAGCGGCTTATTATAAGTTCTGTCGTCCCCGTTTCTCAATCCAGGCCACATTAATATTCTTAGAAATTTGCAGAAAGTTTAAGCAAATCGCGTTAAAGAAGTTCAGAAATGATTTAACGGTGAGGAAAGTTTTCAATTTGATGAAGAGAGATGAAGATTTTTATGTAAGAAATGAAAACTCACTTTTGGATAGCCATGAGGAGTCGACTGTTGCGCGGTAGAGTTAGTATTATTAGCACCGGTCACGCTTCCGGTGGATCCGCTTCTTCCGGTCCCGCTGGTCGTCGAGTCTTCTCGACTGAACGAGAATCTCTTCGGGCTCAAACTCAAACTCGCGACACTGTCGGTCACGTACTGTTGCAACGAATTGAAGAAGCTCATTGTCAACGACGGTGTGTTTAAGCGTCAACGAGGCTCGATCTAATCAAAACACTTTCGCGTGAAAATCGAAGCAATTATCATTGTTTTCCTTCCGATGCGTTTCTGTTCAAAGGACTGTACGCGAACTTCACACGCATCAATCTCGATGTAACACGCTGTATGGGCTCGCTGATACGGAGAGGAAGGCACCTCGACCTCGAGAACTTTCAAGGTTCCTTGCGTCACGATATCGATTCTGACCCTCAGCCATTTGTAAATTTTCGAATTTTCTTCCTCTACCCCGCGATCGTTGCGTTTCCTCGTGCAACGTAAGTCATCGTCCCTCCGAATGACCCCTTAAACTGTTTCTTCGCCCGAATGGTAGCCGTTGCCTTCTCGTCGCGCTTGCATCCTCTGGAAAAAGAAAGTATTTCAGTGGAAAATTAGAAAAAATAATTAGAAATTTATTTGCCTTTTTATTAATCGAATTTATTGGTAAGAAGATGGACGGAAAATGATTAGTATACTTGAAGGAACCCCGAGGAAAGCAATATCGGCCAGAAGCAACGGCATGCTTGTCGATCTTGAGAGGGTATCGATTAACGAGGTTAATTAATCGCAGTGTAAGAACGTCAACGTAGTTGCGACGCGACGTGCCGCAAGAAGATTTTAGCTCGATATAGTTGCGAAATTGTTGCGTGGATCTTGCGGGAAGCTTGTTTACAAAACTGTCGATCCGGAGGGTGGAACGGATTCGAAGGAAGTAACGAGCCCCGAAGGAAAATGGCTTGATGAAACAGGAACAGGATGAAAGGGGGAAGAATGTAGATAGAACAAACATCGGATACTAATCATCATGGTTACATCCAACTTGGAGAACTAATTAAACATCTTGGAAATTTCGGGGAAGTTTGTTGGATCGATCGATGGAAAAATTGGTAATCGAAGTAAATAGGGGAGTGTTTTATTTGTTACTCCTGACATTTTCTAGAATCTACCGTTCTATTTTCCACGGTAGATTCTAAAAGTCACGAATGCGGTAGCAGGAATGAGAATGTTAATATCGCTGAAAAATGGCCCTCTTTCGGCGCGCTTATCGATCGTCAGTAATTTTCTGACCGAGGAAACGAATAACTGTCATCGACGTGGAACAGAGTTTAATGAGTTCCGTTACAGTCTATAAAATATAGTAACGAAGAGAGAGAAAAACGTACTGCTTGGACTTTCATTAACGGGAAGCCAGGCGAATATTCCATCGGGAGCGGGAAACTTCGAACGAGCCAGGACGACGGGACCGAAACGAACGGTGAAATGTAATTTGTTTATCATCGACTACGAAGCACTTGAATCCTGACTCGAACTTAGCAAACTTCATCAGAACTTTCCCTGATATGACTTCTATATGCAATTAAGACGCGTTAATAAACACCCACGTAGGACTTGGATCGCCTTCATCAAAGATACGGCTCACCTTAATTGCAATTAATAATTTTCTTATGTCCTAAAGAAAATTAGCTACTCTGAACAAAACATTACCGTATTGGATAGAATTCGTTGTAGATTTTTTCTAACATTTATTAAATTACGATAATTGATTTGTAGACGTAATATTCATTCCTTTTAATTTATTGTAACAGAGTACAGATAAGCAGATTTCCTGGATAATTACTCTGGAAAGAAAGAAAGAAGGGATTTTAGTGAACCATTGATGAGAATAGAGTTTTATCGATGCGCCCGTCCCTTCCGATTCCTATCGTCTCTTCCTTTTCACGATATCCTAAAGCAATAATTGCCCAGGGAGCTCGTTTCCTGCACAGTATATCCTGCCGTGAGTTTTATAAATTTATCGGACAATAGGGAGCGCTAAACAACACTGGAGAAGAATGATTTCCGCGGTAGATAAAAAGCTTTTTTTCGAGGATACAATTCTAACCCTCTGTACGATCACAGTTTAAAAAATATATATAATTTTAACCGAGATTCACAGGAATTTGATTATATTTCTAAGTGGTAGAAGCTAAATACTGAAAGCTAATATTTCATTTAATTTTCGAAGCTTTACAGTTTAGATTAAGCCGAAATACAAGCTAACAATGTACCGGCAGGAACGTAACATTTAATTCAAATGAACAGGATGACGAGATTACGCCCCAGGAGTTAATCTCCGTGTAATCCTATTCTGCCTAGTTTTCTATACAAATCCCTAGCCCAAATTCGCTCGACGCGACGTCCAGGGTTATTTAACGAATTGTGCACCGTAATCGACGAATCGTCTATTTTCTAAACGACCTGCAATTAATCATCCCCCCCCTCTCTAAATCAAATCATTTATTCGCAATGAGATAGATTTCATCACAGGTGGGTTCACGTTCAGCAAGGATTTTTAAATTTCCATTCCATGCTCCCTGTTACGAAATGTAAACGCTTTACATCGGAATCGCTATAATCGCCTAAGTACCATGAACACGTTTACACGTAATATTATTGAAGCAGTGCAATCAGAGTGAATATAATTGCGCAGTTGTTGAATTAGGCGTTCTGAACGCAATAACTGTAATTCAATTCAACACGGAACGTGTTAATAAAAATTACCTCTATCTTTTATTTATTTTTTTTCAAACGAATGTTTGAATTATTCATAGCCAACTCGCAGCATTTGCAATTATATTGTACATCAATTTTTTCCGCATACTATGTATGCAAAGGGAATGAAAATTTTTATGAAAAAGAACAAATGAAATATATCCAGGTGGGGTGAAGGAAAGCCAAGTAGGGGCGTACTGTTTGCGAAACAATTGCGAGGGATGGTTCTCGCGACAGCCGGGGATTCCTTCGGACGGTGAAGAACACGGGCACAGATGACGAGGGAACGTGGATTTCTTCACTGCCTGGCCAATTTCATTAGACGTGTCAAGTTTTCTTGCCTCCTCGCTTTTCAACGTTCCGCCTACAACGTTATGTCTTCTTTCGCTATTCTTTCTTCTCGAAATACCATCCCCAGGAGGATCCTCCTGTTTCCTCGTTCAACCCAGACGACTCGCGTCGTGAGGTGAATCGTGAGGTTCCATGGGATTTTTCTGATTCGAATAGGCGAACCCGATATGTCACGACGGTTCCCAGCGAATTAATCATTCTTTTCTAATTTTACACATTTTTTATGGCGAGTGGTTTAAATCAGGAACGTTGTTCCCACGCTTCGTAACTCGTTCTGTTTTTCTTTCTTGCCACGCGAAGGGAAGTCAATTCCATTAGGAGGTAGCAACCCCCGTAGAAATACAACCACCGGCCGTCCCCTTATCTTTACGACAGGACAAATAATCTCTTCGTGTCGGAACCAGCAATACCTCGCGAGAATTCTGCGGTTTAAGGCGCGTAAAACAAAGGAACGACGTCGGGTAATTGGGAGTAATTACTGTTTTTATAGAGAACATTTCATATAAAAGGTAGAGACTGTTTAAGCCACTAAGGAATTTACACGTTTAATCACCTGGGTTGGAGTTTAATCGACTACCCGAGCCAGGAACGTTCGTTTAATTCTTCGATAATTAACCAAGAATCGTTATTAAAATTTACAAGAAAATTGTACGCGTTATTTTTTGATTTATCGTAGAAATATCGAACTTGGTTAGTATATAGACACGGTAGAAGGACTATGGGCACGGCAAAATGGTAACCTCTTTAGATTGGGTCGAGTATCGATTAATACTGTTAAAGCCATCTCAAAGTGGGTAGGAAGAGGACGCGTATATCAAAAGCTCATCCGAAATGGTGGAAGAGCAACAGACAAAGCAGTACCGGCCAGTTCATAATGTACATCATAGAATATCGTTTAATTTACTGGCAGCTAGTTACATTTGATCAAACTTCGTAGAACATTGTCTGATGCACTGTTATGCCATATGCATCCTACGAATACGACAAATCTAGATATCTGCTGATTTAATTAATAGCATATCACTGTACGTCGTTGTGTTTAAATCAATTTCACGTTGGATCTGATTTCATTATTACTGAAATCGATTCGATTTAAAATGACAACGAATTATAAATCCTCAGAAAAAGTATAGGTAAAAGAACAGATAAGAAAAACAGCTACGTCTTCCAAAACAAAAAGAGGTTCCCTTTCTTGAAATATTTCACGCTCAGGTGCGCATGAAAATGGTATCTTGAAAGCTATTGTGCGAACATTTTCTTAGGCTGTGTCGCGAACGAAACAATTTCCGAGCAGTGTCGTCGATCGGTGTGTCGTCGGCTAGATAGAGGCAGCTAAGTGCTCGCTCTAAACGTAATTTTCCAGCACAGCAGCCTGATACTCGTTAATGATACTTCGATCGTAGCTAACTTATTAGCGCGACGTATTACCTCGTCGAAACAAGGCCTGGTCGAAGGAAAAGCACTCCGCGTATATCATAGATCAAAGACACGCGCTACTTCCGAGGAAAAGTTACTTAATATTTTGGAATTATCCGAATCCTTCGCATCGTTGATAAATCACCAGCAGTCTATTCTGCAACGATGCACGGCGGCAGAATAAATTTCTCACTCGTTCCCCTTTTGTCTATTTATCTGTTTACCTTTCGCAATCTCTATGCTGGTAAGTACGTGCATACATTACCACTTCCACTTCTCTATCCAACCGTCACAAGATTCGCTACTTGTTTGCCACTGTAAATAGAACACTACCGTCACTGGAAACTGGGTTTCAAGTGAGTCTTGGATATAGTCACATAATGAGATGGTACTACTTGCTTCCTGAAGGGCCCCCAGGACACGACCGATGCAAGCGTTCAATTATTCAGAGATCAGTTTGGAACAGTGTAAATCAGGGTGGTAAGAAAAACAATGGTTCTAAACGTCGACTTGTATTATCAAGGGAATGGCTCTTCCTATTTTACTTTGATACGCGTTTTAATAATTTAGTGAAGAAAAATTTAATAATCACACAGCAGACGTTTTTCAACAGAGATTCCACGAGGATTTTTAACATTTTTTCGAGTAACACAATATATTCCAGAAAGCTTTGATTAAATTTTACAAAGCCACTAACTAATGTCGCTGTTTTCTTTGAAGCGCAAACCGTTCTCACGCTCTGCACAACGAGAATCATTAATTTTTCATGCTCTTCTTATTTTTCGACGCACCCGGAACATCATCCTCGTTATTTAAAACATAACGAGCTGATCCGTTAGGGGGCGAGTTTAAAAAGCATCGTTCGAGAATCGTTCGACCAGATATCGATCGAGAGGAATGCAAACGACCTATGATAAACACAAACCTGGTCGTTTGAATTTTAATCGGGCTCCCCTTCGTTCAGGAACTCTCGTGACGTGTTATCTCCTTCGAGGGAGACTGATCTAGATAGAAAATGCGGGCACTGATAAAGCTTGATGTACGCGCAAACGATTTAGAGTGCT